TATATCTTGCGCACACATTTATGCATTCTAACAGACATGCTTAACTGGAGAAGGTGGGATCTAAAAGCATATTATCACGCCTGTTAACCCATCCCATCCCATGTATCATGCACTTACACGATATCTCCCTCACCTTCTCATGTATTCTGCATTAACAGGGTTGTACATACTAGAGAACATTCCCATTCGCTGTCAACAACTGGACGACTCCAACAAGTACCCGTTATCATGTGACCCCGATGCTGCGGATGACTACATGAACGTCACAGTGGTCATAGACACGCCTGAGCTGTGTGAAGAAGTACAGACCACCACTGCTGTAAGTGCGCGATCGCTTAGGGATTGATATATGTCTGTAGATGTGAGTACACGTGTGTTGTGTGTCTGTAGATGTGTGTACACGTGTGTTGTATGTCTGTCAATGTGTGTACACGTGTGTTATAGGTCTGTCGATGTGTGTACACGTGTGTTGTATGCCTGTAGATGTGTGTACACGTGTGTTATAGGTCTGTAGATGTGTGTACACATGTGTTGTATGTCTGTAGATGTGTGTACACGTGCGTATCCGCTCTTGTGTGGGGATGGAGGTGTTGTAGTGGAGCGCATGCGCCATTAGGGAGGCACACGAGTGAATGGACCATGTTGCTGTTATGTTATGTTGTTATGTTATAACGAGTGAATGGACCATGTTGCTGTTATGTTATGTTATGTTATGTTATAACGAGTGAATATATCATGTTGCTGTTATGTTATGTTATGTTATGTTATGTTATAAATAGTGAATGGAACATGTTGCTGTTATGTTATGAGACGCTCTTGAGCTGTGGGAAGATGTGGAAACTGCTATTGTAAATACGCACCCGTAGAGACTATGATGGATGCTTGTATCTGGTTGTGAATGCATACGTGTTTGTATGTTTGCACCGGCTGGTGTCTTTACACGCACATATGTGTCTATGCATGGTTGTACCCACATATGTATCTATATATAATTGTACACCGGAATATCTTTGAATATAAATGGGTATGAGTACAAGCGTGTCACGATAACAGCAGACATCTCCGGACCAGTGCCAAGGGACGGCATCAACTGCTGTGCGGGCGGTTGTGAGTCGACATTTATTAGCCACATATGCACGCACACACACCCACGCATAGAGACGTTCTTGCACGTTGTTACACATACATGCACACGCACACGTATGCATACAGTTTACGGGTACATACTCACACACTAACACACACGGAAATATATTCATATGTATATATGTATATGTATATGTATATGTATATATGTATTTCAGGGTAATATGGAAGAGCTCTACACGCTAGAGGTGAAAACTATGACCGATAACACATTCTCCGCGCCACGGCCGCCGGAATCTTACCAGTTTGGTGAATACCTACACATAGTCATTGTGGTTGATAGCTCAGCATCGGGTGAGTGGGAGTGCGTATCACGTTAACTTTCGTTTATGTGTGTCGTTTACTTTTAAAGTTGTTTGCGAATACTCGTATCTGATGGGAGTTGCCATGGGATTGCTCGTATCTGATGTGGTAGAGATTCGTATCTGAATCGGGCTGCTGATAATGCCTCAGATTTAGTCCTTACATGTCCTATTCACTCCAGGCGTGGTAGTCGGATATGCCACAGATGTCTCACTTCCTGACGCGCATTCTTCATCCGCTAGGTGTGGGCTAGTTGAAAATGCCACAGATTTACTCATCTCGAGAGCTACATGCTTGTACCCCCTCCTGCTCCCATTATCTACCAGGTGTGGTGATTGAAAATGCCATAGTTTCTGAGGTGGATCGCATCGGCCCTACGCCCGATGTTCAGTGTCGCACTGACTACGTGTATGTTCATCCTGAGTGGCCGCAGATGTTCCAGCGAGAGATATCACCCTCACAGATCTGGATACAAACTATCATGGACACTGATTTGGTATGTATCTGTCTGTGCCGTATGTGTGTATACACGCGTATATATATATATATAGGTATATATATATATGTGTGTGTGTGTGTGTGTGTGTGTGTGTGTATATAT